GGCTGATATGCAAAAATACATACAATCATACGTATACAAAATATGGAATAAAGACCAGAAAACAATTGTTCCAAAGTTTAACCACTGGGCAAAGAAAAGAAATACAAAAATACAAATGAAGCCTCCAGTGCAATCACATGTCCAGTAGTACTTCTCTCTGGTCAACTGTATATTCTTCTGAGATTGTACAGCCAAATGTTCCCAATAAAATGTTCCTTAGGTTAAAAGCAGTCTTCTGGATGTGGAACAGCGGTCACTGTGGGTGTGGAGGGGGAGGTATTTTTGAATTTCCTGCATTGTGCAGGGGGTTGGAATAGATGATCCTGGAGGTACCTTCCAACTCTATGATTCTATACCACGTGACTTGCCTGACTCACCTAGGCCTGGCTGTTTGCTACTGTTCGGCAAACAATGAGATGGTCACAGTCCAGAGAACCTACAATGTATGAATCATACAACTGTGATGAAGAAGCATTCACAATTATTTATCTAAAGATGTTATACAAAACATTAATTTCTGAATGTGATTATTACAAGAATTAATACAATAGAACAGAAGCGAAAAGGCGGGACGGTGGTCTCCGGATTGGTGCTGCCGTTTCGACAATGTGTCTTCTGACCAAAAATTGTGCCAGTCAATGCGAAGTATGGAGTTCCTCAAGCAACAAAAAGCTGCATACTCATGAGTTTTCTCTTATAACTTGAGAAGCAACATCTCTTATTCTAGAAAAAAAGTTCTCCCAAAAGGGCTGAAGTCAAAGCTTGACTAGATTTATGTACCTTCATATATTCATAATGGTATGTCCCTTTTGCCTACCAGTAACAAGTTTCCAGAGGGCCTGTGCATAGATGATGAAGTTGGGGAGGACTTGAGACACAGACACTACATCTGTGGTGCTAGAGGATTATGTCCATTTCTTCTCTGGGAAAGGGGTGAAGAGAATTATTACCCAAATAATATTGTCTTTTCAATTTCAGGCTGATGACAAAGGAAACCTCCTTATACCAGGAAGGGAATGGGCAGTCTTTCGACTGGGGCACCCGGGTATAGTAACACACATAGAAATAGACACCAGTCACTTTAAAGGTGAATATTTGCTGTCAGTCCCTTGACTCTGTGTTACTTCCTCTTTATGTCCATTAATTGTATTAATATTACTGAATGTTTCAAAGATTTAGTGGCAAACATACTTGATTTTGTTGAAATATGAAGTTCATGAAATATATAAAATATTTTACCTTCTCTCCCTTCAAGCTGTAATAGCTGAAAAAGCCTCTCCAATGGGCAAGTTTCATGTTTCAGTTCTGCAAATATCATAGGGTTCTTTATAAGCTTGATCCTATGCATGTTTATATGGAAATAAATCTCACTGAGGTCAGGTGGGGTTTACTTCCAACTCAGTGTATGGTTTACAATCTTGCTTTATTTGAAAGAAGGCTATTGTTATATCCCATTCATTCTTTTACTATCAGGAAACTTTCCAGATACTTGTACACTTGAGGCCTGTATTTTGAGTGTACAAGAAGAAAAAGATTGCATAGCGCAAAAATATTCTCTGAAACAGGGTACAAAATGGAATGTCTTGCTGCCTGTAACAAAGGTAAATTTGCAATTTCTTGAAAGTAGTGCATTCCTTTCTCTTTAGCCCAGTGGTACTGACTTTGCGATCCATGGAGAGCCACATGCACAATTACCATCAACTGAAAGAGCCCCATGACTAGTGTGTGCTCTGTGCACCACTCCACCAAACACACACACACACACATACAATCATACAACCTTAGAATTACCACAGTACCTCTGAGCACGTAGAGCTGTCTCTCTCCACCACTGCTGGACTCTTGTGTCCTTAACTTCCCTTGCAGTCTTCTTGCTTTGTCCCTAGCACAAACCTCACAGCTTAGATGAGAGCAAGATGGCCAACGTTACTCTGCCTTATGCCAGGGAGAGGGTGAGAGGGCAGCAAGGAAAGTAAAGGGTGGCCAGGTTTCCCACTGCAGAAGCTGGCTCTGAGCCAGCCAGCAAAGTTGTGAAGGCTCTCTTTGCAAGAAGCCTCTGTGCTTCCCTCTCTGGCCAGCATGAGGCACAGAAGCTCAGGCAAGAGAGCAAAGGCAGAAGCAAGCAAGTTGGCCTTTGAGAAAGGGGAGTAACCCCCCCCCCCCGTGGCCAGAGTGGTGGTAGTTTTACTCTCCTGTGTGGCCAGCTTGTTCTCCTGGAAGTTGTCCAGGTGCTGGGATGAACTGTAGCTAATACTGGAACAGGGGTTTTTTTTGTTTTTTTTGTTACTAGGCAGTATTTAAACACTAAATTTACTAGAGTTCTTTTTTTCCTTCCAGCTCAAGCCCCATAAAAGACATTTTTTTGATGCCACTGCCATACAAACAATGAATGTCTGTACTCATGTGAGACTTACTATTGCCCCAGATGGAGGCATAGGTAGGCTGCGTCTCTGGGGCTTTCCACGGATTCCCTTACATGTGAGGAAGTAAAAACCTTCGAAGAAAAAGGCTCCGGCAGAATTTCACTTTCACTGATACGCAAAATTAATCCATTAATCTGTATTTATATATTCATTGAATTGTACATAGTTTTCCACACGAGTGGTTCAAACACAAAAATTTGTTATGGATGTGCAGTAACACCCTATTTTTCTAGCTGAATGAATAAAATACATTTTGCAAATCTGTTATCTGATTTGGGAAGATGCATTATTTATAATTAAGCAATGATAAGACACAGAGCATGCAGCTGTAAAAATCTTTGGGATTGTGCAGTAATTTATGTCCACCCAAGTTCTCAAATAAGGGTGTGTAATTTTCCCCCTCTTTTAGATGGCTTTCAAAATGTTAAACAAATACTGGTCATTACAAAAATAATACATTTAAATTTTGGTTGTCTTATATCTTGAGAAAATTGTTGTCATGTATGACGCACTGTTTATATGAGATTTGCAACCCAACTTTAAGCATATTTCCTGGGAAGCAAACTCTGTAAATATGTTTAAGATTGTGGCAAATGTATATGAAACATTTACAGATTCTGAAAATATTAACAGTATTAAAACTTATTGCAAATGTTTTTCTTATCTTAGTGATATTACACCATAATGCATTTGGAGTTTATTCATTTTCTTCTCCGAAGCTGTGTCTATATTTGCTAATCTAAAAAGTTTTTGTTTTATGAATAATAATAAAATAAAAAGGTTATTACATCATTGGTCTTGATATTCTGGATCGCTACTTATTTCATTATCTTTATTTTAACCAAAGTATGGAATCGAGTGTCTTTTAATACAGGTCCTTTTGTGAGTCAGGGCCTACCAATACTGTTGCCAGTTCTGGGTTCGGATATTCCTGGTAATTTAGGGGTGGAGCCTAGGGATGGCAGGAATTGAGGAAGGGCCTCAGCAGGCAATAATGCCATAGAGTCCCCCCTCAAAGCACCCATTTTCTCCAGGGGTGTTGATCACTGTCATTTTAATTCAGTTTTAATTCTGGGAGATCCCCAGGCCCCACCAGGAGGTTGGCATCCCTACCAACTAACCAGTGAACAAGTGATAGATGCCACTTCTGGTACCCCTTTTTGCAGCTACCTTTCTGTCGTTATACAGCTAAATCTGTGGGAAAACTGACTGCAGGATCTCCTCTTACCCCCCATTTCCAACAAAATAACTCCTAACTCTGATCGTCGCCAACGTTTTTTGTGCCTGTCCTGCCCAGCCTTAAACCATTTTGGAAGGTCAAAATGGCATGATGGATGCAAAGAATTACATCCATCCCAAGCAGCACCGTCGCCCCCAAAACAACGGCAGCTTTCACCTTTCTGTCCTTCGATCGCATTTCTCCACTCTCTGGTTTCCAAAACACGAGGCGATGCTCCCAAAACCACCTCGACTTTGTTTCCTTGCCACGAGTGCCTTCCGACTGTTGGAAAACCAAAATTCTCGGGGACGCCAGACCAATGTAGTGGCTATTCCCCAGCACTGTATTGTCTTTTTCTTTGAAGCAGTGACACATTTTCGCTTGGACTGGACAGGAGGCATACAGGAGACCCCCCCACACTGAAGAAACAGGCGGCGCCACGGCGCGCTGCGAAGGCAGCGTAAAGCCCCGGAGGGTAGACGAAGTCTGGCTTGCTAATAAGCAGGAAATGGCGGGAAAATTGGAAGGCGGCGGCAGTAGCTGGGGCTACGAGAATGATCAGCATTAGAAGTAAAACAATAGGATCTGCTGAGGCGATTTGCTTTTGCGTGAAGGAGAGAAACGTCAGGAGGAGCAATCTGGGGACGCGGGAGATGCGTAGTTCCTAATGGGGAACCTTCGAGGGACTTCAACTCCTTGGCTTGGGGAGGCTGCCAAGTGCTACATGCAGCCGCTCCGGAGGAAGGAATGGACCGACTTTGGGGGAGAGAGAGTTGTTGCTGTTCAGTCGCACAGTCGAGTCCGACTCTTCGCGACCCCATGGACCAGAACAACTACTAATTAAGGGCGCTTAAACGCGGCTGGTGCCAAGGAGATACCGAGCCTGGCGGCCGCGCTTTTCTTTCAAAAATTCGGAATCTCTCCCCGCTTTCAAGGAACTTCTGAATGACTGATTTGCAACCCGTTGCCCGCCCTGTTTGATTTACACCCTTGCCCAACACGTTTCCACGGCAACTACCCTATCCTCTTTTCTCCCGGTATTTTGCTTGCTATGGACAGTGAGTCACAATCCTTCCCCTTCACGTGACGCCACACCCTAGGAAGAGGTAGGCGTTGCTGTCCCCTCGGAGACTTAAGGGTGGGGCTCAGGGTTGGTGCACCTTTGGTGACACTCTGAAGGAGGGGGTGAGGGGAAGGGGCTCCATCTAAGCAGGAGCTCAGGCGGTCTCTGAAGCCTACTCTGTCTCACTTCTCCTGTGTTGGGGGTGGATGGGAGGGTGTAATTTTTAATTTAGCTTTGTTTTTGCAGGCACTGTGGTGCTTTTTACCCCCCACACCCCCAAACTGGGGTGTTCAACATGGTGGCAGCCCCACGGTCTCGAGCTGTATACAGCCTGACAGATGTGACCCCAGCTCGGACGATTTGGGTATACCGTAACGGTGATCCCTTCTTCTTGGGGAGGAGGTTTGTGATCAACCATAGATATATTCCCACCTTTGAAGCCTTTATGATACAGCTAAATGAAGGTGTGGCAACACTTTTCGGCGTGAGGAATGTGTACACACCCCGAGAAGGGCATTCTGTTAAAGACCTGACTGACTTGCACTCAGGAGGCAAGTATGTGGCTGCTGGAAGGGAAAAGTTTAAGAAACTGAAGTAAGTATGAAAGCACTGAACAAACATAATCAAATCTTGGGTGACAGAAATCTATCTAGCCCTGTGTACCAAAACCTACAAACACATTTTGCTCTAAAATATTTTGGGATTTTTTTTGTTACTAGTAAATTCCAAGGTATTCCTGAGACATTTTAGAAAATGTTAGCTCTGAGCCAAGAATTGCTGCTGTGATATCAAATAATAAGTTGCTGAGGTCCCTTTTGCAAATGTTTTGTGTATTTATTTTTTAAAATTTTATTTATTTCATTTATACCCCGCCCTCCCCGCACGCGGGGTATTCTTTTGCCACTGCAGTTCTTCTAGTCTACTATACAGAAAGGGGAGGTAGTGTGGCTGCTATGTGGCTAGTGGGAATTGGTTATCGAAATGTCATCCCAAACCTGTGTAGACACGCTCCCAGAAGTTAGGGCTATCTAAGATAAAAGCTGTTTTTCCTCCTTGTGGAGTTTTTTGTTGCAGGTTACAGGTCAATCCTCCGGGACATTTTCTTTTTCTTTGCCCTTTTGGCAACCTTCTTCTGCTATTGATTTCTTATAATTACTGAGAGGGACCAGAGACAGTAGGATATAGGAAACCTTTGTTTTGTCCCTTCATAGCTTGGCCAGATCACAAAGATAAGAAAAGTGAGAGGAGGTAAAGAAGTGTATGATGTAGAAAATACCCTTTCTTTTGTACCTCTTGGTCTCTCTCCATTCCATCTGGGGAATTATCCAAGAGTAAAAACAGTGGCATAATAAGTATATCCAGTTTATGTGAGTATTTTAATTCTTCCCATTGTTATTATTGATCGCTTATCGAACATTTTAACAGTACAAATTGCTTTCTAAATTTTGTCATTTTTATCTCAGCTATGTACATTATATTCCTTCTTAAAGAAGGGGAAGTGAAGTTGCAAGATGATTTGCCCCACAACTTCACAACTAAGAGCCAAAATTCACACTTAAAATTTTTAATTTGGATTACAAAAGTGTCAAGATATGCATGTGACTCTATAGGGTGGATACAAGCAGTTTTCCCACTGGAGAGGAAGGGGTCACCAAAAGGCTACCTTTGGGGATCACAGGACCTACATAAACCATGTGGAATGGGGGCTGTAATAAGGAGGGGAACTGACCAAAATTGAATGGATATTTATTTATTTATTTCGATTTCTATCCCGGTGTAATGCATCCAGTTCTGACCGCGTGGCCAACTGGGGCTCCATGTGGTCAAGCAAAACCTTCGAGCTTCTCTCCAGGAAACAATGGACTAAGCGGATCCTAGCCCGCACCTATCTGAGGGCTAGGTTCCCGGCCGAGAGCCTGTGGAACTCTCGGCCACTGTAAATAGCCTATTGCGGTGTAGGGGTGTGTTTTGGGTGGTGGTTTCACGGGGGATATAAGCCGGCCTGCCAGCCAGCTAAAGTTGTCTCGTTCCACACTAATAAAAGTACGTAAGCTGAAATCACTCGTCTGTCTGCGTACTTTTCACCTGCCTTGCCTGACAAGCAGGCTCAAGGCGGCGTACAATAATAATTTGCAAATTACATTGATGCAATTTACATTAATGGAAAGGCTGCCTAGATCCAGCTTTGTCAATTATCAATGACAGGTGTTTAAACGGCTGAATTTCATTGCAATAAACATGGAAGTTGAGATTACCTGTCTTGATTCCTAGGGAGCCCAGCTATTTCAGCACACATGAGCCAGTCATAACTGGTGGCTCCATTGTGTATTTTGCCATTTAAACTTGGTCATCAATTATATTTGTGTTTAACAACTAAGAGTAGGATTTGACCTTATGCCTTGGATATACCCAAATACCTTATTACAATAATAAATTGGCTCTCCACTTTAAATATTGCAGGACTATGTTTTCTAATTGTCAGTTTGTTTATTTTTAACTGTTATACTCCTTGTACATAAAAATGTCAGGAAATGGTATTGCCCTTGTCATCTTATATGATCAATGTTTATTAGGGCGATTCTTCATTGGCTTTTCCCTCCATTGTTTTAGCAAACCCACCTTGGAACAGAAATTCCCCTCTGTATTGCATGCTGCTTTCACTTTATTTAATCATCAGATTCTAATAAAACATCAGCATGGAGAAGGCAAAATAGCAACAATAAATAATTAAACAGTACAGTCTTTCCTAAAAAGTAAGGTCTGTTATCTAAACATGGGGAGGGTGGTAAGCCTTGTTAGATAGGTATTCCCGTGAGCAGTTGCAGCAGTGGGAAAGGTTTTTGTCTGGTTGCCTCCTGAAATACCCTGAAAGATCTTAAGGCTTGAGAACAAGTTTATACAAGGGTTTGCAGGGGGGGCATTACTTCAGAGAACCAAGGCTGAGACCTATTTTGTCTTAAAAGATTAATAGCAACACCTTGAAATTGGGCCCAGAAACACTGTGTTAATCAGAGTCATTGTTTGAGAACTGAAATAATAACAGTTGTTTGTTCTGTTTTGCTAGAACAACTCAATATTCTAGCCACAGCACTTGGAACCCATTTTTGTCCAATGATAGCTCTGCACAGAGTGCATTGCAGTAGTCCAGCCATCATAGCCTTTCTGTTGTCTGAGTGGTTACCAACCCACAGGAGCTGAATTTCACTGAGCAGTACTAGCTGCAGCCCAAGAAAGGGGAGGTTGGAAACTTCTAGCCCACAAATGGAACTTTTAATGACCCTGTATAATTTTATGTGCAGCACTAAATGTTGTTAACAATTAAATTGAACGTGATTTTTTTGTTTCATATTTTATATGATTTCACTGTATGTCATAGGTGGGGCTATTGTTTAGTGGCTTTTGTGACATGATAGGGTATTGCTGTTCCAACAAGGGGTGATTCTGCATCTAGCATTCACATTTTCTCAACTAGGAGGAAAAAGTGCAGCTCAAAACCACATCCAGATACCTTGGGGCAACGCTGTACTGACTGCAAAGTCACCCCTGAACAGCCATAGATCTATCTAGAAGGTACCATAAAATCTGATGATCAAAGAAAGCAAAAGTGGCATGGAGTGCGGAGGGTACCATAAAATCCGATGATCAAAGGAAGTGAAAGCAGCATACAGTGCAGAGGGGAATTTCTGTTCCAAATTGGGTTTCACCGGAGGGAAAAGCCCATGCAGAATCAGCCAAGGATGGGAATAACTGGTGTAGTGAAGCAGATTGCTTCCCAGGTTTTTATTACTGTTAATGAAAGGCAAATTGTGTGTAGCAAGAACATGCTAAATGTTTCCCTGCTAAGGCTGAAAGTTGTACAGATGAATGTTGACCATATTTTGAATGTATGTTAAACCATAGGCTCCTAGAATATCATTGCACAGAATATGGCCATTTTGTGCCATCTGCTTATTTAATTATGCTGCAGAAAAAGAATTTGTTAACTTAAAATGCTATAATAACAGCACAGGGACAATGCCACTGTGTTGAAGGTTTTTGATTCAGTGCAGAGGATTACTTGGTAAATTGAAATATGAAGAGTCAGATTGCAGATAACCAGATTCTGTGTGTCATATTCCATTTATTTCTACTGCAGTACCTGAACAGAAATTCTCCTGAATTTTAAATGGTGTGGCTGACTGGGTGCCCCAAACAAATATGCTCTTACACAATTTAACTAAGTGGTGATCAAGTGAAGAGTCTAATATTTCAACTGAAATGTACATCTTTGGGATCTGGAGTTCTACATTTCAGCTGCAGTTTACTAAAGCTTTACACCAGCAAAGTACTGTCTGTTCATATGTTCCTGCCATTGTTCTTGTTTGGTGATCTTAGGAATGTGCAGGCATGACCTGGAATAATTATACGGACATTCTTTGAAAGCTGCAGAACAGTTTTCAATATAATTTAATGCTGAACAGCAGTTTGATTTGGCTGTTTGCATTCATGTTTCTGCATCAAGTGTTTGAACTGGTTTTTGTTTGTACAAATGGAGACTGGCTTCTTGAAAGTGTATGAGAAACCTGAGTTCATGCACTGATGGTTAAATTCATCTGTTTTTGGCGACCTTTACTTTGCTGAAATAGTAGTATGTAAATTAAATAAATAAAATTCAGTATAATAATTGTTTTACTAGTGATGCACATTTTCTAGGAGTAGTTATAACAAGAGGCGGGACCCGCAATACTCGCGGGGGGGGGAGTATTCCCCACAGCTCCCGGCCTGCAGAACTGGCAGTAGGTGAGCCCAGCCTTCTCCCTCCCCCCTCCCTCTCCCCAGTGGCGGTGGTGAGGCCAGCCCGTCAACCTTTCTCCTTCCCCCCTCCCTCCCCTTACTTGTCAAGGAGGAAGCTGCCGCGGGTAAGCCTTCTTCCCCACCCCTGCCTGGCCCTGACGGCGAGGCCCGTGCAGCTCTGAGCTGCTGGGCCCACCAACCCCCCCCCCGGCAATGGCGGCGAGGCCCATGCGGTTCCTAGCTGCTGGGCCTGCCAAACCTCCCCGCCCCCCCATGGCAACGGTGGTGAGGTCTCAGCTCGGCCCGCCAATCCTCCCCCCTCCCCCAGCGGCGGCAAGGCCTGGCCAGCCCGCCAAGCTTTCCCTCCCCGCGTGGTGGCGGCGGCTGAGTGGCTCACAGCTGCCAGCCCGCCAAGCCTTCGACTTCCCCCTCCAAGTGGCGGTGGTGAGGCAGTTCGCAGAGCATTCCCTGCGCATGCGAACTTTTACTTTTGTGGGGATTTAAATATCCCCCCTATATTTTTCTACTTTTTAGATTTTTGTGCACACCTGGGGACTGCCCCAAGTGTACAGGAAAATCTCCTTGCCCCCCAGGTGCCCCCGACGTGCGGATTTAGATATTCGCACGCAGGGGGCGCCTTCGCTATTAGATATATGGATTGTTCCCCTTGCCTTGTTATAAGTGAATCCTTCAGTAGTAGGATTCTAGTAGCAAATCCATTTACCTATCCTTAAATACATTAGGACCAAAGGTGGAATCTAGCAGAAGTTCCACTGTGGGTTTTGGACTTTCAAAATAGCTCTTGAAAATAATGATGTGAGCTGTAAAATCCCAATTGACTGACTCTTATTAGAAAGTTGAAAATACTGCTGTTAACAGTATGTTGAAAATAATGTGATGTCCTCAGACCTAAAACTAAGTTATTTATCAATGTGTTAAGGGCCTTGTACAGTGACTTTGCTATATTGCTTTTTGATACTGTGAAATAGCCTCATGTGAATAACCCGAATGTGGTGATTTTAACAGGTTGGAAAGAAAAATAAATACAAATAAATAAGTATGTGTTTATTGTAATTCAGTTACCATTGAATATGTCTGGTAACATGTAATGAGTTTACACTGCTGGGGGTAAGCCTTTTATCCCCTATCCCCTGTTGGAGTTCAAAAATTTTCCTTCTCACATTCTCATTTTCCTCACTTTTAAGTTCCTGTTTCTTGGGGGGGGGGGGGATCTGTTCTGTTTGCATTTTGTTCCTTCTAGTGGTTGATTTTATATGACAATAGTTGATTTCCAGCATAAATACCTTCTGTTTAAATCTGCAGGGAGATATGCTGGAAATAAACCATTGTAATGTCAAATTGACCACTAGAGGGGAAAAAATGCATGCAGAACAGGACCCCCCCCCAGGGGAAGAAACAGGAACTTAAAAGCAAGGAAAATGAGAATGGGGAAAAGCCCACAGTAGTAGTTTCTGAGGTATTTAATGATATACCCAAGAAAATCTGTGCACATCCAGCTCCACTATAAGAGGGGGCTGCTGGCATTAAAATATCTAAGTGAATTTTGAGTTGAATTAAAAATGTTTAATCCAGTCTTATATATTTTTTGTCAGTTACTTTGGTATAGGGGCAAAAAAACCTCAAAGAAAGAAGAAGGATGAGGTGGTGAGTATTTAATTAGTGTCATTTTCGGTTATTGACAGGAGGAAGCAATTACTTAGTTTTATCAGTATCTAGATAATTTAAAAAAGGCAAGGATAATGCATGGCTGAAATTCCATAATTCTAACTGTTCGCATAGTCTAGACATATTGAAATAGATCCGAAGGTGCCCTTCTGCCTCTGGATAAATCTATTTACAGATGGGAGTCTGTAATGGAAGACTCTTTCCATCAATAGAAGATTCATCTTATGTGACTATGCCTCAAAGGGCACCTTTGGAGCCAACTCCTGGTTTGAATTCTGTGCAGCACCAGTATAAGAAGCTGGTGGGAGCAGATTTTTCTGACCTTTTCCCCAGCAGTTCCTTCTGAGCCTTGAAATGGAGATGCCAAGGCAAGAGAATCAACTGTCTTGGCCTCTTCCAGAGCCTGCTGACAGAAGATTCAAAAAAGGGATGATTTCTCTCACCTTCCCTTCCTCAGTGTAGCCAACTTGTCTTGTGTGGTTTTTCATCTGAGTGGGTCCCCAGTCCTTGGCATCTCTTTTTCAAGGTTCGCTCTCCATAGAATTCAGCCCCCTGAGTTTATGGTGTCATTTTGTTTGTTGTGTATTTTATTGCCAGTACTACTTTTGTCATGATAATACTGTAAAAATGAAAGCTGCAGGCTTAGATCCACTGGAAGTTTTCCATGGACGGAAGGGCATATAACTCCTGTTACAGTCATATGCTCCCCCAAATACTGCTCCTGTGGGACAGGGAACCCCAAGGAACAGCAGGAGGGGAAGACAAAGGTCTGCCATGAGAGGATAAGTATGCAAAAATTTCCCCCCCCAGCATGTGTGGAAATACTCCAGTGACCCCAAGCCAGTGTTTTTGCCAATCTACATCTGTCAAGATTTATTTTTATTTTTACCTGTTCTCAAACTTCGTCATGTCCCTGTGGACAGGGCTTTTTTTCTGGGAAAAGTGGTGCCGGAACTCTCAAGAGGGAAATGGGGAAACATGGGATTCTTTGAAACAATATTATTTTCATGCACTACAGACTCACCTCAATTTTAAAGCAGTTTCCAAACTTTAGACATGTTACCAACTTGTTCAGTTCTTTTTCGGGCCTTGCTTTTGGTGCCTAGCGATGAATGATGACCTTGAAGCAACCATGTTTTAACATACTTTGTTAAATCAAAGACTGTTAAGATAGGTCCAACAATTTTATAAACAATAAAGTTGTTATGGTTTTGACTGACAAGGAGGAGTGACAGTCAGGTTCATCTGGGAAAATCCCCTTTCACACTCACTGGAGGAAATAGCTGTATTGAGAGTGCGCCCAATCTGAGGCAGTTCCTTGGGCATTTCTTCTCTGAATGTTAGATGTTCTCTGAAGGCTGGAATGGCTTCTCTTTCTTTGAGCTGAAATCTTCTTACCAATGTGTATATTCTTCCCCACAGAGAATGTTGTCCCTTAAGTTTGCTGGCCAATTCGTAGAATCCAGAACTCTTCCACATCTTGACAGTTCTGTGTCATCTTTTGAAAGCAGTCTTTTCTGAAGAGAAATTTTAAGTTGATCATGGAATGCAACTGAGGAGATTGGTGGGTCATCAGTTCTATTTTTTCTATGCAATGGGACACCCTTAAATTGCAGATTTTCTGTTGCCTCAAGTGCTTCCTTATAATAAGGACCTGGAACAGTGCTTCTCTTCCCACAAACATCAACAAGACACTTAGTCTCGCTGTGGGCTTTGTACAGATCACTATTTCTCTCCTGCAAATCTGAACTCAGTTCTGATGGTTCTTGCATCACAGATTAATCTGAGATCCAAAATAAATTTAACTGATGTAATCTTTCTATGAAGACCTTCATATATGCATGTGTCCTTTCTGTCGTGACCATTTGCTGATTTACCTTTTTCAAAATGAAGGACTAGGGCTTCATAATCCTGCCAAAGAGCCAAAACAGTTCTATAGCTAGATGCAACTCCTCTTGTAGATAGAATCCTTTCAATTTTTAAAATGCCTATCTCCAACATAACTGCACATGACTTGAGCTGCCTTGCATTTTTTGAAGATGAATGATATATAACATATAACTTGTCCAAAAAACTCTTAAATCTATTGATGCCCAAAACATCTTTTGTAACATCATGTACTGATAATTCCAGCCTATGACTAGCACAGTGCCAGAAAACAATGGCAGGGAATCTGGCTTTGAAAAGTTTTGAAACTCCTTTATCGGATCCCAGCATCACTGCAGCACCATCACATGCCAATGAAACTAAATTTTCCTTTAAGAATTCTTCAGTGAACCCTGGCGACTCAGTATGAGACATCAAACTTTTGTATATTCCATTTGCTGTTACGACTTCCAGCTCTGTCAAACCAATGAAGAGATTTACAGGTTCTTGCATGTCTTTTCCCTCAATGTAGAGGTGAATATACACTATCAGTACAGGTTTCTGACTCATTGAGTATCAGTGAGATTTTACTGTTTGATTCAATAATCTTTCTGACTAATGTAGTTCTCATTTCACTGTCAATGTGATTTATAATATTTATACAGGCAGTAGCAGAGTGCAAAATTCTCCCCATTTAGTTCTTGTAAATCCATTCCGGCTTCAAAATTATTAAAAGACTGGTTCTTTTTAGCCACCTTATATGCAGTACAGAATATTTTATTAGTAATTTCCTTCTCTCTTGTTAGTGACTTCAGACATACTGTTTCAAGCTTTTCTTTTTTTCTTTCTTCAATTATCTTAATTATTTATTTTATGACCTGCACTTTCTCTACGGTCAAAAATCTTTTTCAGGGATGTTGGTTGCTGTTTCCTATTTTCACCATAAGATGTTATCTCACAATTTATCCGTTCTTTAGAAGGCCGCACATCCACATTCTTCTCTGTGCCTAGCAGCCAACATTTTTGCATACTGAGCAGCCTAACTTGCCATCGTGAAAAAATAACCAATCATTTTTTTTACAAATTCATTCTTCTGCTCTACAGTCCAGCAACTGGGTCAGAAGCTTCCATTAACTTCAGAGACCAAAGTGGAACTCCCTGAGTCACTTGTTGCATTTTGAAGTTCCAAACCTGAATTCTTGGGAGTTGCAATTCCAGCTGTATTGATTGATGAATCCCTTGATGTTGATGAACAATCTTCATTTGCTTTACGTTTTGTTGTAGACTCAATAAAATAGTCCGAAATCCTTTTCATGGTTCTCAGTAGCCACATGGTCGACACACACATGGAGCTCACCCCCCCCCCCGAAATTGCAGTGGTCCCTCATCTGAAGAATGCCGCTGCTGCTGCCATTGCAGAATGGCTCTTACCTCTTACCATCGCAGAGCAGTTCTTACTAAGAAGAAGCAGTGGAGGCCATGGGAATCTGGAATCTGGAGGTCAGAGGATGGCACTGGATGAGAGGGTGTCCTCTTGATACCCCATAAAATGTGGGGTCCCTCAGGGGGCTATCCTCTCCCTGATGCTGTTCAACATCTATATGTGCCTCCTCACCCAGCTGACAGGGGGTTTCGGGCTGGGCTGTCACCAGTATGCTGATGACACCCAGCTATATCTGCTGATGGAAGGCCAGTTGGACTCTGCCCCAGGAAACCTGGCTGAGGGCTTGGAGGCCATGGTGAGGTGACTGAAGCAGAGTCGGCTGAAACTGAATCCGTTAAAGATGGAGGTTCTCTGGCTGGGTGGGGGAGACTCAGGTTTGGGGTGCTACCTCTCAGCTCTTAACCACGCACCTTTAACACTGGCACAGACAGTCAGGAGTCTGGATGTAGGTCTGGATGCCTCCTTGACAGTGGAGGCCCAAGTCACAAATGTTCCCAGACTGGCATTCTTTCAACTACGCCAGGTCAGGCAATTTGCCCCCTACCTGTCTCACCCTGACCTAGCTATGGTAACCCATGCAACGGTCACCTCTAGGCTTGATTACTGTAACTCACTTTATGCTGGGCTGCCCTTGAGGCTGATCTGGAAATTACAGCTTGTTCAGAATGCAGTGGCCTGGGTCCTTAGGGGGACACTGATGTGCTTTGCCAGCTGCACTGGCTCCAAGTTGAGTTCTGGGTCAGGTTCAAGGTTTTGGTCTTGTCCTTTAAGTCCCTCAACGGTCAGGGACCAACGTACCTATGGGATTGCCTCTCCTGGTATGTCCCCTGGAGATCACTACACTCAAGTGACCAACATCTATTGGAAGTCCCTGGCACAAAGAGTGTCTGGCTGTCCTCAACGAGAGCCAGGGCCTTTTTGGCCCTGGCTCCGACTTGGTGGAACTCTTTGCCTGCTAACATCAGGGCCCTGCGGGATCTGTTACAATTCCGCAGGGCCTGCAATGCAGAGATGTTCCACCAAGCATGTGGTTGAGGACAGCAATGGTTTTTAACAGTAACGGTTTTTAACAGTTTAATAATTCTTAATAACTGTCTCATTCACAATCTGCTTTCACCCCTCTTCCCCCATCGCTAATGTAATCTGGAGGGCCAGAATGGTATGATGGTGCCATATGGCCATTGGGTTTTAGAATTGTATTTTAAATTATTTAATGTGTTTTATATGGCTGTTGTGAACCGCCCTGAGCCTGCTTGTGAGGAGGGCGGTATACAAGCCTAATATAATAAATAAACAAACACTCTGTCACATTATGTTATATTTAGCTCAGAATGAGTGTGTCAGTGAGTCTAAAGGTTCACATGTTAAGTCAGCAGTTACCTCCTTCCACATCTAATTTTAGCTATGTGTGCTATTGATTTGGTTTCAAACCAAAGTTCTTAAAATACTATTGTCAACAAGTGCTTATTGGAGGTCCTCTATCTTTTGCAAATGTACTAATAGCTCTCAGATGAAATGTTTGGACACACCTCTTTTTATCGATATAAAATATGTTGCCTTATTCAGTACTCCAGGTGGGGTTTTTCAGTCAAGGTAGCTGTTAATGCATAAACACACACAAACACACCTCATCGTTATACATGACTAATCTGCTGATCGAACTGTATCGACAGCCCAGAAGGACGCTGAAAAAACCTTAGCTGTGACATTATTGCAGGGGTCCCCTGCATGGTACCTCTAGGTGTCATGGTGCCTGCCAAGTGTTTTTAGAAAGCAGGCAGGACTTGGTGGGGTTTTTGCCCAGCAGGACTTCTGATTGGCCAGTGGAGATCTTTGGTTGAGCAGATTGAAAAACAAAACACTGTTTCCAGCAGCAGCTGCCACAGCACAAGGAGGACATTCACTGCATGACTGAAGGTAAGCTGTGTGTATACAAGAAAATATTTTTACACAGTATGTTCATTTTAAAAGACATGATCTAAGCTGAGCTTCTGCCTGAAATGCTGGAGTGTTCCTGTTAGAGTTAACCTCACTTCCTGACATTTTGTGGTTGGCTTTGCCTCCTGTGGCAGCCATTTTGTGGTTGTGCCCACCACCCTGTGTCAGAATTCCAAAGGTGCCTGCAGGCTCAAAAAGGCCAGGGATCCCTGCTTGACTGTTGTGTGGGGGATAAGAAGTATAAAGCACAGTGGAATTTGGAGTGTAAAAAGATGATGGTAGATTATGTCACACTCACTGATGGTTGAACAAGCGCTATGGCTTTAAAACACTGTAATCTGCCTTCATATATCTTCAGCATTAAGGATGAAATTTTTAAAAATTCTCGCATCCCATACCCTGTGTTGTTTTTGCAGATCCGACCAGTAGTCCACAGTAATATACAAGTACCTTCCAGATGGCAGTCGTTCTATAATAAGCCACAAATTCTTAAGTAAGTATATTGTGATTAGGACTTCTTAAATTGTTAGCATTGAAATAAGAGAGATATAAATATAATGCTTGCCCATTTGAAATTTTAAAAAATTATAAAGATAGTCAGCCACAGCAAATCTAATTTACAGAAGTCGATTTCACTTGTGAATGAGGAGTGCATCAGAAGAAGAAGACTTGGTGTTATACCCTGCTCTTCAATACCCAAAGGAATCTTGGAGTGGGTTACAATCACTTTCCCTTCCTCTCCCCACAGCAGACACCCACAGCAGAGAGCTCTGAGAAAACTGTGACTGGCCCAAGGTCACCCTGCTGACTGCATGTGGAGGAGTAAGGAATCAAACCTGATACTCCAGATTTGAGTCTACCTCTCTTAACCACTACATCACTGCTGGCTCTCAAATGTACATGAATCCAGCTTGTTGCCAGTCTTATGTGCAGTCCTCATTTCTCCCCCTCCCTTCTCATGTGGAAGATTGCACTTAAAAATTAAGTACAATTCTCTGTACTTTACAAATGTGGGCAAGTGGGCTAACCAGAGCTGGTTCCCCCGTCTGCCTCCCCATGGGAATTCTAAGGAGATGTGAGATGCATGCACAAGTCTGGCAAAAGGCATTGGAATTTTGAAACAATTCCTCATTAGATTATACTCCTTGATATTTGTCAGTCTAACGAAATGTGCATTTGACAAAGTGGGCTGTGGCTCACAAAAACTTATACTGCAATACATTTTTCTTTAAACTGCAGCAGGTTAACATTGGCTGCGGTCAGACGGAACAGTAGCCATGCTAGAGAGACAGAAGATAGGTGGATTTTCCGGGCGCGATCTCACCACCACATCTGGGAAGCATAGAGCTCCCGTGGCTCAACCGAGGCTTCCCTCCGAAGATGCGCGGCAAAAAACTAGTACCTTGGAGGTACTAGTTTCTGGAAACCGTGGGGCAAGGGCGGGCATCTGATCGTGTTTCCGGTGGCATCCGGCGCCCGCCCATGTCCCCTCGCAAACAGGTCATTTTTTCCCCAAGGCTCCACGGATGCGCAGAAGCACCCAATGGAGCACGCGCACACTTCAGTTTAAAAAAGTAAAAAAAAAAAAAACCCGTTTGCTGCGCCGCCCCGCTTCTTTGCCTGTGGTGTGATCGGCACCTCCCCCCTAGCCACGGGACCTCGACGGGACCTCAACCGGACGTCTGATCTCGCAGTCGCGCATTAGATTGCCCCAGGGCAAACAGCCACGCTCCCCCCCCGCATCTTCCAGCCCGTGTGACCGGGGCCATTACTACCTTTCTAGAATTTACATTTATGATGCATTTAAATGCTAAGAAAGGGAAAAGGATGGTGGTGCTAGCATAGCCTTTACATTTACATAGTTCTGAAACACTGGATGTCATCTGTGAACTGTAATACCTAAGGGAAAAGTGAGACTTCCAGATGAAATGACCCACTCCATTTTCTGTTCTCTTTTTCATTGTAGATCTAAGTACTTTATGCAAGTTTTTTTCTTTTTAATTCTGCTCAAGTATTTCTGGGACTTTGAAACAATTCCTTGCAAGAAACTTCTCTTTTTTGACATTTGTCTTACATAGGCCCCGGCCACACGGGAGACTTTGGCCCGGGAGAGGGACGGATTGGGGGCACAGCAAACGGGTGCGATCTCACCGCTATATCTGGGAAGCGGCGCGCACCCATCCCCGATCCGTCCCTAAACCCTGAAAACCTGCTGCGAAAAAGAACCTCCTACAGAGGAGGACTTACCTGAAGCACCGCTGCAAGCGCGGCCGTGGGATCGCCGCCGTGCCCGTCATCCGGATCAATCCAGGCTCCCCGCCGAACTGTGCATG